AATTGTACGTTATAATGGGAAGCCATAAAAGCCCCAGCAACATCTCGGAGACTTGCCAAACACCCCGAACGTTCATTACAGCCCTCATTAAAACATCCACATCGGCGCGGGGAGCTCTTACAAATGGAAGGAGCATGTAATTGCTGCTTGATTGTGGTATATGTAACATATGATAAAGTGAAATTACCTCTTTATTTGTCTACAGTGTCCGTGAAGCTTAATGGGGAGAAAGCTTGCAGTAAACAAACCCATGGAGCATTGTTTGATTGGTGCATTATAGAGCTATTTGTTTAAAGTGGGGCAAATGTGAGTCAGGGGACACTGTATATACAGGCCAAACTCAGATAAGGCTCTGCTTGAGGGGAGCTAATATTTTACTTCTGGGACACTGTTTTCATTTGATCTCCAACATGGGACATGACATAGAAGATACAGGAAATAGGATATATATATATATATATATATATATATATATATATATATATATATATATATATATATATATATATATATATATATATATATATATATATATATATATATATATATACCTTTGAGTACACATGTATGCATACTTTCCACACTACTGCTAAACACTATGATCTGCAATCCTAATCAGTTCTTACAAATTGTTTTAAGATAAGCTTCATGTCCTGTTCTTCAGCAGACTTAAGAGCAATGCCAAGTGGCAAAGCAATTAGTAGTTCATTTAGAACAAGTGCACTATGTCAGGGCAAGTTTTCTGAGACCCAGTCAACACTAATTCTCAGCGCTGCCTTTATTCAAATGACCTCAAGAGTATCTTTTGTGAGGGTGCCTCTAATCCATCTGCATTAGAATAAAACCACAAATGCATTGCTAAAAATGAACTTTCTCTGTTCCTGTCTGAATGCAGCCCCAGCACCAGAGCTGGGTGCTCAGTCACTGGAAAGGATTTTCAGTAGTGCCATTCAGCAGGGCCCCTAAAGCCTGCAGCCTTTATCTGCAGACCCTTGATTGATGTGTTGTGGGCCCTGCTGTGGTTAACAGCAATTTTTATCTGTTGCTAGCGGCAACAGCCCAGGTCCCTGGTGCGCAGAGAGCAGCGGGGTCCAGGATCTGAGGCTGGACCTCACACAGGGATAAACAAATAGGTTTTTGAAGGCGGACAGCCTTCATAGTGAGGCCCCTGACAGGCAGCGCCCCACCCCAAGGCCAGGGCAATGTCACGGCCCCAGCCCACTCCTGCTGGGCACTTGGTTTCCTTCACTAATTTTCACCATGTGTGGAGCTGGTGGCCGGCACACCTGCACAGTGTGCTCAGATGTGAGCTCAGTGAAGACTATGCTGCCTCAAATTACAATAAACACAGTTAAGATGTGGGATATAATGTCTGGGGAAAACAAACAATAGTTCATTGAATAAAAGCCTCAACAAAATGTTCTTGTATAGACTGAAATTTACACTCAATTTCCCTTCAGTCACAGTGTTTAGAATGTAATCCAGAGGATCTGTGTGGTTTGTTAAATAAAGCGTGAAGCCCTTAATGACTTCTATTATAATTAAGAGACATAATCCCTGTATTCGATAAAGATCTTGTAAAGAGCCTTGTCAGTCAGACACAGAAGTGGATTCGCCACAATGTGGAGACAGTGAATGCCAAATCAATTAAAACAAGACTGTTTAAGAATGCACAAACACTGAGAGACAGCTCTGTTTAGAGTGTAGACTCATTTAGCGTTAAATATGATTAAAACAAAGCGAGTGGGGAAATTAGGAACGGGTGTGTCTGAGAGCTCCTAGCACTTTTGCTCAATCACTGGAGCAAGGTTTTACCTCCTGACATCTCCAAGATAAGCCCTCCCAAACAGACTAGGCACATTATACAGTCTATCCTTTTATCAGGCATTAAAACATGAGCCTGAACTTGGCCCGGGGCATCTGTGACGACAGATCACTCACACAAACACAGAGAGGGAGGGCTCTTTTTGGCCAGGCTCACCCCTCTCCTCCTCTGTATCCAGCTCAGGGATAGAATCGGTGCAGGCAGATATTTGCAGTTACATTTTTGCGACACTTTCCTTGTCTCTTGCTGCTCCTATCTCTCCGACACAGAGGGGGATGTTGGGTTCTTTATCAAGCCGCCCCTGAGAGGATGATAAATCGCTGGAGCCTGGGCCCATCTCCGCTGGAACAACAAGCAGGTAGCAGTGCAGGAAACAAGGAACAGATATTGTCTCCCAAACATAGCCGAGGCTATAATGAAGCCGGCACAAAGCAGACAGGAGAGTGGCTCTGATAAACAATTCCATATCCAGTCTTCCACACAGGAGGAGATAGCGGGTCTCAGGCGGGCTGCTGGACTCAATGGTGCGGAGATTAGCCTTCAGCTCTCAGCGCCTGGCTGTGTTTGTGTGCTCATGTCATCCACTAACAGATACTGCATTTTACATGTTCTCAAGCATGTGACACCGCTGTGCTGAAATGGAGAATGGATGTGGAGATACCATTGTTACTTGTTATGCTACTCTCCTGTATGCCATATTTTATGCACTTATTTCCTTCTCACCACAGTAAATCATTGCCACCTAGTTTGGAGTGATTCTTGCACTGATTTGAGTTTTATACCAAACTCTAGTCTTGTTAGAAAAGCTTTAGACTGAATAAATATTGGTTTATTTTTACAACCTTATTACATACAGTAAAAAAGTACAATGGACTGTAGGACCAATCGGGTCTAGAAGAATATGAAAGATATTAAGATTTACTATAGCCTCTTCTTCTAAACTGATGAACAATTAGGCAAACATCATTTCACAGTAAATGTGGCTTCCAAATGATATGGGAATAAGAGTTAGGAAAAGTGCCAAATTTGATCCAAATTATAGATGGTGCGATGGTGGGTTTACTCCGTTGTAACAAATCTTCTGATAAGCAAGTACTTCAGATTGGATCAGGATCAGACTACCAGATAAGATTAATTTTACTCAAGCCCATTTTCATGGCAATTTGAGAAAGAAATAGTTTAACTAAATTAAACTATCGAGCAATATATCAATATAATTTGTACATCAATAGAATTAAATCTGGATAAATTGACTGGGTTTCAGGAAGGGCATCTGGTGTAAAACTTCAGGGCCTTATGGTAGAATGAATTTGACGCTACAAGGCTGCCTTCTATCCACACCTTTTTGACCCTTCCCAAATCATAAACAGCCCTCCACCCACTGCCATGCCCTCTGTGCTCGCTCTCCTCTAGCCATAGCACTGCTGGAAGGCTCTGCAGTCGGATCTTCCACCATCTCCAATCTCACTCCACCTCTTCCCAGACATCTCCCTAGAGCCAACCACCATGACCCACAACCCCACACCATCCCTCTGTAAAGCCAGGAGCATTTGTGGGTATAAAGAGACCCCCAGAAACCAGGAAGTAGCAGCAAGAGCAGATTGAGTGTCAGAGCTCAGGGCCCAGGAGATGCCCGCAGGATACACATGCTGCACCACTGCCCAGTCAGAGAGAGCTCAAGAGAATAGTCAGCAAGCACCAAACTTCCTGACTGGGTTACTAGACTTTCCTCGGGTTGCAAGCTGTAGCCTCCACCCCCACACACACCAACTGCCAACCCCTGCCCTCATGGCCCGGTCCCCCATGCCCTCGAAGATTCTTGCAGATAAAGAGAAGGCCTTGTTCCTCGCCGAGTCAAACTGACAGCTCGAGCCAAAGGGCTGCACACGCTTTTTGGGAGGGTCTTGTTTGTTTTCATCCATCTGTGAGTATGCGGCCGCCGGGGAATAGGAATGTGACATGTTCTATTAAAACAGAATTTACACAAAAAAAGGAAGACTGTGCTGAATTCAGTGTCTTGTGAAGTTGGGCTTTGTTCAAGGCTTTAAATATGGTCCTTTGAGGCAGATTAACGATGACAAACCATTTATAGTTGTTTTGTTTGTCTGGATGATGACTTCCAAACGGCAATAAGAAGTGCCATATGCCACTCATCAGCTAAAAGTAGCACGCTTTAAAGAATGTGGCGGTGATGAGTTCGCCTTTAAGCAAAGGACATAAAGGACAACTACTGTCGGAACTATCAAGAGAATAGACACATCACTCGAGAAGAGGGAGAGCTGGGCTCACATGCACAGTTTAGAAATGCAAAGGGACAAGGCAGCATGGACGAAAATAGTCCTGTTTTGACAATTTGTAAGATTATGTATGCTTCAGAAATGACTATTTCTCTTGGGCTCGTTTAGCTTGATTTGCACTGTACAAACATAGGATGCAAGTTGTACTGACATATTTGGACAATGTTGCAAATCATAAATTATACAACCAATCATAAAGTTTGAAATTAGCCATCCATGAAAAATAAGAGCTTAGTTCAATAGCAGTGCTATATCCATAACTGGAATTGGAACTGAAAACATTTATTTTAAAAAATCTTCATGTTTTACAGTGACACTTAAGCTGGACTTACACTGTCCGATTCTGAGTTCACAACCGGTTTCACAACCATTTTCAAACTGGACCAAACTTCCATGCACAATGTGAGGTCAGCCCATCTATCTAAGATTCAACCAGTCAGTGTGAGTTTGGGAATAGTTTTAACATTTACATTATACAAGAAAACAGCATATGCCCAGTTTATCATGGCTATAACTCAAGAATACGTCACTTTTTGAATCAGAGTCCTGCAGCTTTTATGTATGGAACATAAATACACTTGGTAAGGCCTAAGTAAAAAGTAATCTTCATCGAGAGTCACTCAAGGAAGGCACATAACTGCAGCCTGGGCGCACACTGTTGATCGATGCCAATAAAAGGAGGTTCTTTTCGCCAAGGTAGCGCAGGACACCTTCCCGCAATTTAATCAGTCAGTCAGGCAGAATTAATGTCCCTAATATCATGATTTCTCCATTACTCTATTTAACATAATTAAAATGTCGAGCGCAGCGGCCATAAAGCGGGTCGTTGGAGATTGTAATTCTGCCGTAAAGCTATGAAGCATGAAAATGTCACTTACCGAATAGCCCCGACCTGACAGCGAGTGAGTGGAGCTCTGTAGGGAGAGAGGAGAGAGCAGGAATGACCTTTAAGAAGCCTTTCACTGGCTGACACAGACATGATGAAGCAGCAGCGCTTTAATATCAATATTCACGTTAACCTTTTACCCGCCCTGCCATGTAGCCCTCGCCCACGCACGACACCATCATACATTCTGCACTGGGCTGCCGGAAAGACATTTAAACAAACACTTTGAGTTTGGTTAGAATATAAATCGTATCATATTTTTTTTATAGTTACCGTTGTTTATGCATTTTTATAGTATGGTGTAGCTTGTAATACTCGTGAGATTAGAAGATGTATGTCGAGGTCAAAAACAGTAACTAGCAAACAAAATATGTGTGAAGCAAACATACAGCTGAAGGAATCAAGGGAAATTTTGTGTTATGCAGATATCATGGACTACATGGAGCATTTGACTTAAAAGAGTAAATTCATAATAAAAATAATAAATACAAAACCCAATGGAAGGTTCATGATATATTTCTTGCCAAGTATGTTGTGATTTGCAAGAATAGATTTAGAATTTTAACATTGGATGGTCAAAGTGCAACAATCATCTTTGTTTAGGACCAGCACAAAGGCTGTTAAAGTTGTGTCATGATTGGGCGTTGATTTAAATTGTCTTCACTTTAAACTTTTCCATCAGTTAAACTAGTTTGACTGTTGAATACAATTATTTAGTGTTCACGTTGTCTGGTGGTTTCTCTAAATGCAGAATCAGAGCAAAGTAGAGACAAAAAATGCTTGGTTTTGTTCTAGCTCTGTCCGTCAGCACCCAGCACGAATTCCAATCTCCCAATCCCTCCCTCCACTTCCACTTTTCACTGCTTTTATTCCTCCATCTAGATTGGCAATTTCTCCCCCCTAGTCTCTGGAGGGGACTTTTCTGCTAGACCAATTTCATCCATAGGTCCACCTTCAATCCAGACAACCTCCCCCACACCTTCAGAGCCACAGCCTCCCTTGTTTTGCACCCTCCCATAGCCCCTCATCCATTCTTCCACACCTGCTCTAGGCCTCAGCCCTCATCAACGCCTGTGTGCCCGTCTGATTCGCTGACGGCTCCTGTGGTGACGATTAGGGAGGAGCCCCGCCGCGAACCGGAAAGCAGGCGCTGCGGGAATCAAAAGGCTATTCGTGCTTTGCTCAACTTCTTTACTCCCTGCACCAGTGTGACCAGAGAGAAGCCAAAATGAGTGCGGAAGAGAACGGCACAGAGGGCAAAATCCGGGGCTTCAAAAGGCCATAAAGTGTTTCGCACAGGCAATAATGTGTTGACTGGGTGCATATTGTGACTGCTCTTAAATGTTTGTATATGTGGGAGCTGCGATGGTGGGAGGCCAAGGCCATTTGGAATTAGCTTTACTATGTAGAGTTCATTCAACTTGGAGCATTCAGAGTAGAAAGAGAGGCTTATTTAAATGATAATGAGGGACAATCCATTGGATTTAGTGCTGGTGAAGGGAGGAAAAGAGGGGAGGGAGCGGGGGGATCCATTAAAGCGCCAGCGGTTCATAAGCCATAGGGTCGGCATACAGCTAAACACTCGCTCTTAAAAGCCATTATACATGGCTCTCAATGGATTTCTGCAGCGCTTAGGACTTCAAAAGGATTTAAGAACCCGCCCCAGAGAGCAGAGAGGGGGAGGGAGCGCTCTGCTGGCTATAGTGGTTGGTGGCGAAAGGGACGGGGCGGATGCTGGCGGCATTTAAGGGTTAACTAAACAGGCCCAGAGAAGAGAAATGTTGCTAAATCCGCCCCCTAATCCTCTCCCCATTTCCATGCCCCCTCCTCCACTCTCTTACAAAACAGAAAAAAGAAAAACATGATGACAAGTGGGGCAGGTCTGGTCCATCATCTCTCAACCCAGACTATTAGTTTTTGTTGTTGAGTGAGGTTGAAAGGTGAGCCAATCAGAGCTTTTGAGGGAAGCGAACAAGGTGCAGCATTGAGAGAGAAGAGATGAAAAGAACGTGATTGTAGACATCTACAGCCCAGAGTTTTGCGTGTAATGAAAAGACATACATTACTTGCTTCAAATGACAGCTTGTGCATTTTGTATAAATAAATGCAATTAGTCACCCCTGCCTCTTCAACATTATCATAATTCCTACGTATAGAATAGATTTATTTTGTAAATACTAATTAAAGTACACACAAAGACATTACTAAAAGCTACATTCAACCAATCATCACATGCATCAGGGACACTAGCACACCCCAAATGGGATAGAGACCCTTGGAGCAGTGCATTTATCGTACGGTTGGACAGAACACAGATGCAGAGAAAGCAGCCCCCTCACACCACCACACCACCTCCTCACATTTGCCTAATCCCTGAGCGGCTTAGTGCTGGGCCCCACTGCACCACAGGCACAATTACCTAGTCAAAATAAACAGATAAAGACCCAAGCATGGCATCCCTCTGCAATGTTTTTCACCCTGCGCTCCCAAATTGATGCATGACTGTTTTTACGGGCGATGGGTGCGTCTGCACATCACATTTGTCTCTATTTCCTTTGGCGCTAAGACAAGAGAAATCCATTTTACTCGTTGGCGATGCGGCATCATTAGTTAAGAGCTCTTAAAGCTAGGGAGCCACTTTGATGTGATGGAGCGTGTTTTACGAAAATTAGTAGCGCTCATGCAGGCGAGGGGATTTTATGGGCCAGGAAAATAAGAATTATATGCAAGATGGTGTCTATCAAGTTAGCGCTGTACTGTAAAGCAGCCAGAAATCTGCAGCCCAAACCGGAGAAACGGGGATGGATGATACAAATGGCACAGTTACAACAATCAACGTCTGTGCACCATTTATTTGGCGATGGATTAGAAAGAGAAGCCACATCTAACAGTGATGGCGAATGCAATGGGCGATTGTCAACACCCCCTCTGCCCCAGCCCCACCCCTCCCTCACTGAGCCTACCGTAGAGCACTGTCAGAGCTGTCAACTAGTGTGGCTCTTTTATCTGACAAGCCCGTCTCCTCCTCCTGACTTTTTCATTAAAAGACAGCCTTTACACAAATTCAGGGAAAATAGTTGAGGAAGAGGGGGGACCAAAAGGAGCAGTGCAGCAGGGCTTATAAAAAGGAGCAAGATGGAGAAATTAGGCTGGGTGATTTTCCGTTTTCATAAGGCTGGATTTTCATTCAGAGCCCTGAATGGCTTAAAACAATGTATTTAATATGTTCATTAAAATCCTTTTCTTTCCATCACTTTGCCCCCGCTGGAGGAGGAAGCCTGAACACTCCGCTTCCTCTCTCTTATTCCCTCTGCCTGCTTTCGTGGGCTAAATGAACAGTCTGATTGAATTTAGTTAGGTTTGGGAGCAGAGCTTGACAGGCATTAGTTAGGAAGCATATTTCTACATTCATTTAAAATGGGCCGCTCGGGATTTTGCATAAATTCTCATTACTTCCCCTGTATCTAAATTGCATTATTTCATCCGTTATGCTGAACCAATGCCTAGTCTTCATTTTGCTTTGCCACCTACTCCTTTCTAAATGAACTGGCATATGGATGCCGGTGCACTGATAATTGGCCCTGTGTCTTTAACTGGTTCCTTCCTGAGGTCGATAAGGTCGCCCCACACCTGGCTGCACTGCGTTAGGTCATGTCTACATTACCACGGCATGCTTTAAATAATGCCAGGTCAACCAGGTGAGGCTGCTCCAGCGGCTTAATCATTTCCTGTCGGTGTGCTGCCTGCCAAGCAGTCAGAGGGGATTTATGAGGTGATCCAGGGAACAGCAGGAGCTACTGCAACAGCTGCCCTCTGATCTGACAGTCCACAGGCTGCTGCTCTGGCCCTTTCAAACAGACTGTCCAGTCTCTGTAGTGAAGGGAAAGGTCTGCTCCAGTCTCTAAAGAGGAGGGACAGGTTTGGTCCAGTTTCTGTAAAGAGGGACAGGTTTGGTCCAGAAGAGGGATAAGTCTGGTCCAGAAAAGGAACAGGTCTAGTCCAGAAGAGGGACAGGTCTAGGCCAGAAGAGGAAAAGGTCTGGTCCAGTCTCACCTCATTCAGTTGCTCTTTAGAAGGGCTTTTTAGCAGCCTCAGTTCCTGCACCGGTTCGTCCTCACTGAGTTTCACTGGCCGCAGTGCTAACGGCTTGATCTGCAGGAACACAATAAACACATTAGTCTGCAATCAACATCCAAATATTTCTGTTTCCAGTATATCTTGATAATTAGATCTATGCATGCCTATGCATTATTTTTCTTATTGTAAAGCACTGAACAATACAGCTAATTTGAGTAATAATAATTGTATAAAAAAAAGTGTTTTACATGTCAAAGCACACTGTCGTTTGTGCTTTGGCTATATGTAAAACAGAGGGGCTGCAGCAAAAACACCTGCAACCTCAAAACCTTTGTGTACCAGTGCAAATAGAGGTAAGACAAGGAACGTGTTTATGAAACTAGCACTCACAGTGAGGCTGTACAACAGTACAATATAAAACTGATAAGAACATAAAAATACTGATTTATGTGGTGGTGATGGTCCTGAACTAATCCAAGGATGTAAAAATATTCAGCAGAGAACATAAACAACACAATACAAACACTTCAGAGATGCTAAGTGTTATTTATTAAAGGCAAGCCAACCCAAAGCTGGCACAGGTTCAGCCTTTGCTGATGGACTCTTTGCAAGCTATGCAAACAGACAGTTTGTTGGTGCAGCATCAGCCCTCTCATGCCCCATGCCCACACTCCGCGAGCTCTAGCTGTGGGCTATAATTCATCTGAGTTGCATGCGGCAGTGTAGCAGCTCCCCTGGTGGCTCGCACAGTGGCTGGGCCTGGTCTCTTGATCTCCACTGTAATTTAAGCAGATCACTGCTACAATTAACCTTTCCTGGTAAATATCAATTATGGCCCCCGGCTGAGCTAGAATTAAAAGGGTCATCAGCTAATCTGACAGGTCCTGTACGGTACCACCTGGCTGGGAGAGCAGGAGGAAGGCAAGGTGGCAGGGAGTGTTTGTCTACCCTTGTGCCCACAAGCTCACATGCCAACTAGACACAATTCCCTTTTAATTACCCTACCACCACTGGGGCAAGTGCACTGATTGGCCAAGGGGCATTAGCAGTGTGGTGAGGTCAGTGGTGACATGAGTGGGGTAGAGAGCTTGGCGTAGGAAAAGGAGGACAGGTGCCAGGCGATCATGGCGGGGGAGGAGAGCCCTGCCAGGTGGGCCTAATCAGGTTTGACTTCCAACTCTGCCTGCCTCTTCCAGCACATTTCTCAGTCTCTACAAACTGTCAGTCTAATCACTCCTTACGTCTCAGAATAGATGATGGCCTTTTTTACCTATGCTGCTCTGGAAGTGCACGAACAGCAGTGGGGAGGTAGGGGCACAGCGGGTCACATTGCTTTCAAGTGCAGCTGTTGATTACTTTGTTTACCCAGCGTCTGCATACTGACAAATTCCTGCAGGCACCCTAAGTGTTTCTGTCTCCTATGGGGACGCCAGCTACATTACCCAGTCAGCAATCAACTCGGCTATTGATCAGAGCACAGCTTCTAATTAGCCACCTAGGCTAATGATGCAGTATGCAACAGCCGCTCCCCCCATCACTGTTCGCCAGGACACCAGAGCAATTGATCTGGGCAGGAATTCGCCGACTCTGACAGATTGGCAACCCTGACTGCCTGTGATTAAGGCTGGGACTAATTTCCTGTCTAGGGAGGTTTTTAATTGGCCCTAAGCTCCCAACTGTACAGCTTTCAAGTTTTGTTTTTTCGCCTTTCTCTGTTCATTAATGCTAAGAGACAGGCAAAAAGCCTGGGAGTGATGATTTGTGCTATGATGTTGTGGCACAGTTCAAGGTCAGGAGGCTGTGGACAGTAAAGTTAAACTAATATTGTAGTCAAGGGTCTAGATGACCATTTGTAAACATCCATTATGGAATGTTATCAAAAATTGTGAATTATTATGATTACTACTCCAAGCAGCAGATCCCTGCAAGCACTGCAGTTTGCCTTTAAAAGAGATGTACAAAAAAAAACATAGCTAAGTAAGTGCCTGTGTTTTACATGAATAATGTACTGGAAATTAGCCCCATTAGTCTCGGTATTGAACATGTCTCCAGTCTGTCTCTGGAGGCTGCCACTCTGTGCTCTTTAATTATCTTCAAAGGGCCCTCCAGCATCTTAATTTCCCCCTAAGTTGAGTTGTGCCGACATGGGTCTGCTCATTTATACTCCTCTAACCCAGAGTGAAGCACACAGCCTTCAGTGCATAGGGCTAGTCAGAGAGAGCTTCAGAGCAGAGGGAGCTGGCCTGGTGCAGTGTCAGTCAATCTGCCTGCTGTCAGTGGGGACCTGTCTGCAGGTGGGCGGGTGAGGCTTTGTTGTCCTACTTCTTTGATCCGGCCTCCTCTTTACCTCGCAGGCACTCAAACGCAGCCTCAGAGTTACACAGACTCTGAGCACTTTCCCCATTGTTAGCTGTGACCTGGGTTTCTCTCTTGTTGTGCTAAAGCCTGCCATCACCTGTCAGCTGCACTCAGGGAGGCCGTGTCTCAGCCTTGTCCCCCCGTCAGTCCATATTACCCCCTCAGAATGTGGACCCGCAGCCCCCTGAACTACAGGCTCCTGTGCACTCTGGGTGTTCTGAGCAGGGCCAGTCCAATCCACATAAGAGAGGGCTGTAAAGGACCAATACAGATCCTTCCTCTAATTTGTTCAGAAAAGTGTCCTGCGCAGAGGACCCTCACCCCTATTAACCCAGCGACAGGCTGCTCCTCTCACATGGGGGGCATCAGGGGTGTGTACGAGGGGCACACAGCCTAGGTCTGCTTCTATATCAGCCACCTCAGAGCTCAGTGCCACTGGTTCAATCTATCGGCTCATTATCCCCCTCCCCTCAAGGCTAGGGCGCAGACAAGTGCACTTTAGGGCCACAGGCCAAATTGATTCATCTGCCTTCATTTTCTGGAGGCTCAGACGTGGCAGCTGCTCGAAGGCACAGGATGACGCTCTAAGATTGTGTGAGACAGAGCTGTGATAGAAGGCAGGGGAAGCAACAGATAGAGTCCTGTGTATAAAACCTGTGTATGCATTGGGGGAGGGGGACCAACACAAAAGGTGTTGTGGCTTTGTTCTCTGTCCATATCTCATTTCACTTTTGCTTCCCCTCCTCCGCTCATTGTACAGCACTACTGACACCCCCTCCCGTGAAACAGCTATCAAGACATCCACTCACTCCCCCACCAAATCCCAAGTTGGAAATTAGCCCAAGGACAAGCTAGCCGATTTACTACGGGGAAAGCAAATGGATTTTTGCTTTTATTTTGACGAGTCCCAGTGTATCCATTACGCCATTTAATCATACATTATTCATGGAACTTGTCTTATAATAAATGACCACATAAAACAGGATACACATATTATACAAGCTCTAAAATGCCCCTATAACTCTCTCTCTGCTAGTGCGCTCAGCTAATTCACATTTGTAACCCACTCACAAATACAACGATGTGAAATCCTAGCTAGTAAAAGTACTACATGATGAGAGGTGGCAGATTAAAAGCTACACTTCTTGAGAAAGCAGAAAATAAAAGGCCAGGGTATAATCTAATATGTGCATGGACAGAGTGACTAACATTCTATTTGGCTCTACAGTGAAACGCAGAGGCTACTGAGACCTCCCTACACAGTAACAAAGCAGTTCGCCTGAGAGAGGAGACGGCTCCTCTCTGATTCCCAGCCAAAGAGGCCCTCAGGAGAGCCGTGAGTCCCGCCGGGCCCTGTCTGGAACAGATGAACTGGGGAGAGCAGCACTCCCTGTGGGCCAGGCCTCTCCAATCACTCTCACCACACGCCTCTGGGGGGATCAGGGGAACAAGGCGAGAGCGGAGCACAGGGAAGGGGAGGGAAGGTGCACCTGCTCCCAAACATGGAGCCATCCCTCAGCACCTGTCCCGAGGGCCTGCTGACAACACACTGACACACACTGACACACACTGAGACACACTGAGACACACTGACATACACAGACACATACTAGCACACACTGACATACACTGGCAGACACACACAGGCACACACTGGCACACCCAGACACACACTGACAGACACTGACAGACACTGACAGACACTGACAGACACAGACAGACACTGGCACACACTGGCACACACTGGCACACACTGGCACACACTGGAACACACAGACATACACAGACACACACTAGCACAGACTGACACACATCAACACACACAGACACACACCGACACACACTGGCACACACGGACAGACACAGACACACACTAGCACACACACACACATCGACACACACAGACACACACCGACACACACAGACACACACGACACAAACTGGACACACACTGGCACACACTGACACACACAGGAACACACTGGAACACACTGGAACACACTTGCACACTCAGACATACACAGACACACACTAGCACACACTAGCACAGACTGACACACATCGACACACACAGACACACACCGACACACACTGGCACACACGGACAGACACAGACACACACTAGCACACACACACACATCGACACACACAGACACACACCGACACACACAGACACACACCGACACAAACTGGCACACACTGGCACACACTGACACACACAGGAACACACTGGAACACACTGGAACACTCAGACATACACAGACACACACTAGCACACACTAGCACAGACTGACACACATCGACACACACAGACACACACAGACACACAGTGGCACACACAGACAGACACAGACACACACTGGCACACACAGACAGACACAGACACACACTGGCACACACAGACAGACACAGACACACACTGGCACACACAGACAGACACAGACACACACTAGCACACACTAGCACAGACTGACACACATCGACACACACAGACACACACCGACACACACAGACAGACACAGACACACACTGGCACACACAGACAGACACAGACACACACCGACACACACAGACAGACACAGACACACACTAGCACACACAGATAGACACAGACACACACTGGCGCACACACAGACAGACACAGACACACACTGGCACACACAGACAGACACAGACACACACTGGCACACACAGACAGACACAGACACACACTGGCA